GTCAGTTGTTTATTTATTTTTTAACTTCAGTTTTCATTTCAAATTTAATACATATTATATGACGGTAGGTTTAGTAAGGTTAACTGCATCTGCATAGAATTGAACTCTTAATTCTCTAACTTTAACTTTTAGATCTTTGCACTCGAATTTTCCTTATAAGTACATGTTACAGATGCTTCAAGAAAATTTCTGAATGCATAAGACTGATTTAGATAGTCAACGTCGATCGATCTTTGGTTTAATTGTATTTATTGTAATTCTATTAACATTGCAATTTTATGATACTCTATTGATGTTATAATTTTAAGATATTCTAGTGATGTTACAATTTTAAGACATTCTATTAATGTTACAATTTTAAGACATTCTATTGATGTCACAATTTTAAGACATGTTATTAATGTTACAATTTTAAGACATTCTATTGATGTTACAATTTTAAGACATTCTATTGGTGTTACAATTTTAAGACATTCTATTGATATTACAATTTTAAGACATTTTATTGGTGTTACAATTTTAAAACATTTTATTGATGTTACAATTTTAAGATATTCTATTAATGTTACAATTTTACGAAATTCTATTGATGTTACAATTTTAAGACATTCTATTACACTTTCGTATTTTTGCAAAAATTAAAAGAAAGCTTCTCTATAAGAAACCTTCCTCATTTTTCTTAATTACAGTTTCTTGCCATGCTTCAATAAAATATCCAGAAGTACTACTAGTATCTTTACTATCATAGTTCAAGTTCCGTGAAAAGAGTTCGGTTACCAAAGGAATCAGAAATAAACCGAACAAGAAACGTCCTTCGCAGCAGCCACGTACAGTAACGAGAAAAAGTCGAACAAAGATCGGCTCCTGAGAATTCCACCTAAACCGCATTAACGTTCGCGCGTAAGCACATCGGAATCTCGATAGCCGATGAATCAGAAAATCGCTGTTTTCTCTTGTCCGTGAAAACGTGCACGAAAATCCAGAATCGAGGACGTATTTTAACGGGACGTCGTGTTTACGCGAACGACGGTGTACGTTTCCGTTTCGTTAGGGCACCGCTAGTTAGAACGGAACGAGACGCCTATCGATTCTTGGTCGTCGTAAAGTACTAGCAAGAATTTCATGCTGAACGCTTGTAAGAACTGTTTGTTTACTTAAAACTGGAATACTGGTGTGTAGCAAACAGTCTGTGGAGAAAAAGTCGGTCTGAGATACAGGATTTTTGAGTTATTTTGGGTGCTGTGTAAATATATGAGTCTGGAGAGTGGACATTTATGTTTGAAGATTGTTATGAGGTTAGACGAATAGATGCGTCGCTGATTCTACGGTTTTTGTTTATTAAAAGTCTTTGACTTTTGTAGAAATCCATGATGGAACGTGGTTAAAGAGAACACCTTGAAGTTGAAAGAAAATTTTCAAGTTCTAGTTTATTATGTCAAAACATTTCTTTAATTTCTAATTCAGTTTTCAGAATACTATCATAACTATTATAACCATCTAACCTAACCTCATATGTGGTATATGTATGTACTGCACCAGCACATTAATTTTGTGATATCTACATTTTAAATCATTGCAGAGTCTTAGACTCAAGATAAAATTCTTCTGATGCTATTCTAAAAATTAGCTTCCAAATTAATATCACTGCTAACAATGATCATTGTGAACATCCATTATGAACACTAAATTTACAGCAACTGACACATCAACATATGTGAATTTTATGAAAACTGTATATTGCGTATACCTTTTCAAGAGAACGTGGTTTCTCAACAGTTGATGAATCACTAATTGTTGATTCATCCAAACGTCGTTACAAACCTTTGACACTTTATTGCTCATTCCACACAAAACTGCTTTATTGAATATCAACAGATGTTGGTATCAAACAAAGAGACTTTGTGTATGAACCATATACCACACCTCAAACTATTGTCAGTGACTCAACCTTGAATTTAGTAACTATAATTGCTTCACAGTAACGCTTTGAAGAGATCCCATTCACATTGTCCAATTTGATCTCGATCTGAACGTCCAACATAAACCCACATTGAAGTCCAAACGATAGATACAAATTGAAAGGATAATCTTTTCATGTGCTAACGGGAACGTGCTCGACAAATGTAGCCGAAGCTTAGCAAAAATCTATACTGGTCCAATCGCGTGTCCCGATTTGTACAGACACGTACGAGACTCGGAGCAAGTTTGCCCGGCACAATTCGCCGCATTTGGTGTGGGGTCATTACGCTCGGAAATAAAGCGTAACAGTGTGGTCATAAAGTCTGCCTACACGTGTTTTCGAAACATTGAGTGGCACTTGCGAACGTGTAGGCCCACTCTTCGACTCGTAACATCTGGTATCGCAGGTCAGACATGCCTACTTTGCGATTAGGTGGATTACTGTTGCACAAATATTATAACTTTTGGTATGTTTGGTATTATGTTTTGAGGTGGGATATTTAGGTGGAAGATATAGGAGGCTGGAGTATAGAGATTTGGACATAGATGTGAACAGGGATATGGACATACATAGGGATGTAGACATGAACAGAGACTTTACAATTAGTTGGATTACTGTTGCACAAATATTATAACTTTTGGTATTTTTGGTATTGCATTTTGATGTGGAATATTTAGGTGGAAGATATAGGAGAGTGGAGTATAGAGATTTGGACATAGATGTGAACAGGGATATGGACAGAGACATAGACATGGACAAGGACATAGACAGGGATTTGGATAGGGACATGGACATGGACAGAGACATAAACAGGGATTTGGATATAATTGAACATAATAGGTGTATAAAAATGTGGACATATGAAGATTAAGGTAGAGCTATGCATGTGGAGGTGTCAGGAGAAATTTGGACATATGAGGATTTAGATATAATTGAACATAATAGGTATATAAGAATGTGGACATACATAAAGATAAAAGTAAAGCTAATGCATGTAGGAGTCAGGAGAAATTTGGACATATGAGGATTTAGATATAATTGAACATAATAGGTATATAAGAATGTGGACATACATAAAGATAAAAGTAGAGCTATGCATATAGGAGTCAGGAGAAATTTGGACATATGAGGATTTAGATATAATTGAGCATAATAGGCGTATACGAATATGTACATACATAAAGATAAAAGTAAAGCTAATGCATATAGGAGACAGTAGAAATTTGAACATATGAGGATTTAGATACAATTGAACATAATAGGTGTACAAGAATGTAGATATACACTAAAGATAAAAGTAGAGCCATGCATATAGGAGTCAGTAAAAATGTGGACATATGAGGACTTAAATACAAATGCGCATAATAGATATATAAGGACGTAGACACAAACAAATAAATATCAAATTCATCGTCCACATTATCTCGCCAACATACGATAAGCAACGAAAGGGTTAAGACCTTGCCGATAACACCCTATCAATTTTCAAGTAAAAATCAATACCCGTGCCCCTATTTAATTTTATAGACCACCGCTGAGTAAACGCGGCTTTAATCTTGACATATGAATACACACGAGCGTATGTGTACTCATATGACACATCTGCGAACGGGGTGATCTGGTGTCTGGTTTATTTTCGGTGCACACCATCCCTCGTAGCAGGCGTATCTGAAGGGTTGATAGCGTTTTATGCCATGCGCGTGGCCAACGTCTGTCTCCGAGTTAATTATGGACTAATTGTCAAGACTCTCGTCGCGTCTCATTTTTTCTCCTTGTGACAACAGGACGTCCTTCCTCTCCTTTAGAATCCTTTCTTAGAACCTTAATGAGCCACCAACGAATTCCATAAAATTAACCTCTGGTGTTTGACCAAGTGTCGAGTTTAATTGCGTTAATTGACATCGAATCGTGTGAAAGAGATGCTGAGTTAATTTTACGCTCAGTCAGATTTCTACCAAATAATCGGTAGATTTCTACTATATAGTAGATTTCTCTCAAATTCCAAATCTCCCAAATTTCCATTCTCTCAAATTCCAAATCTCCCAAATTTCCATTCTCCCAAATTCCAAATCTCCCAAATTCCCACTCTCCCAAATTCCCACTCTCCCAAATTCCCACTCTCCCATCAAATTCCCAATCTCTCAAATTCCAAATCTCCCAAATTTCCACTCTCCCAAATTCCCACTCTCCCAAATTCCCACTCTCCCAAATTCCCACTCTCCCAAATTCCCACTCTCCCAAATTCCCACTCTCCCAAATTCCCACTCTCCCAAATTCCCACTCTCCCAAATTCCCACTCTCCCAAATTCCCACTCTCCCAAATTCCCACTCTCCCAAATTCCCACTCTCCCAAATTCCCACTCTCCCAAATTCCCACTCTCCCAAATTCCCACTCTCCCAAATTCCCACTCTCCCAAATTCCCACTCTCCCAAATTCCCACTCTCCCAAATTCCCACTCTCCCAAATTCCCACTCTCCCAAATTCCCACTCTCCCAAATTCCCACTCTCCCAAATTCCCACTCTCCCAAATTCCCACTCTCCCAAATTCCAAATCTCCCAAATTTCCATTCTCCCAAATTCCAAATCTCCCAAATTTCCATTCTCCCAAATTCCCAATCTCTCAAATTTCCACTCTCCCAAATTCCCACTCTCCCAAATTTCCACTCTCCCAAATTCCCACTCTCCCAAAGTTTCTATCTCCCAAATTCCCCATCTCCCAAAGTTTCCATCTCCCATATTCCCACTCTCCCAAATTCCCGTTCTCCCAAATCGCCAGTCTCCCAAATTCCCAAATTCCCAATTTCCCAAATTCCCAAATTTGCAACTCCCAAAACACCAATTCCTACACCCCCAATTTCCAAAACTCGACTTCTCAAATCCCCAAATTCCCAAACCCTCAAACTCCCAAATCTCCAACTCCTAAAAGTGCTATCAGAGATAATTCAGTCTCCTCTTTACCGCAATTTCCCAGATCGGCACATTACACGATAACATCGCAAACCATGTGAACTAATGACAGTCTTCGATCTTCATTTTCAGACAACCATAAAGGTGTACGCAAACTGCCTGCGGCCAGACATCGAATACAAGACTCTGAGCATCACCTACGAAACGACCTGTCGCGAGGTGGTTCAAAACCTATTGAACAAGTATCGTATGAAGCATCGTGACCCCAGGTTGTTTTACTTAACCATGGAGGTGACCGTGCGAAGACCGAACGTGAGGACCGTCCTGCCGCTCGACGAGGACGCGAGACCTGCTGTTTTGCAATCGTGTCATCCTCGCGGTGATTCCAGGTAGGATCCTCCGCACGTTCTTCAACTTCCCCTTTCGGTTTCGGTCGGCTTCGCGATGTAATTTCAGGGCTCGAGACCGACCTTAAATACGACTTCTTGTGGGTCGCTGAGCACGAGCCAACGACGAGCAACGTCCTTTCGAGAGATTCCCTTTGTTCTGCCTTCGAGTCGTCTGGCTCGAACGCTTCTGAGACTTGCTTTTATTTATTACGAACCTCGAACGGTCAATCGACTTCCTTGGCGCGATTCTTAATCAAGGACTCGCGAGAATGGAGGGAAGTGCGCGTGGGAAAAATTTAATTATTCTGACGATCTTAGGAGTCATAGACTGTTTCAGGGATTTTCGGATGTGCAAGTTTTTGTATTCACTTTCGGAATGTGAATGTCTAGTATACTTTTTTGGGAGTATAATTTGACAGATTGTATTAGGGTGCAATTCCTGGGTGCCAAGTACCACATTCATAAATCATTAGGTCGCTGAATATATTCATTCTCAAATTCCCAATATTCCAAATTCCCAATATTCCAAATTCCCAATTTTCCAAATTTCCAATTTCCCAAATTTCCCATCTCTCAAGGTCCCAATTGCCCAAATTTCCATTCTCTCAAGTTCCCAATCTCCCCAATTTCCATTTTCTTAAGTTCCCAATCTCCCAAATTCCCAATCTCTCAAGTTCCCAATCTCCCAAATTCCCAATCTCTCAAGTTCCCAATCTCCCAAATTTCCATTCTCTCAAGTTTCCAATCTCCCAAATTCCCAATCTCTCAAGTTCCCAATCTCTCAAGTTTCCAATCTCCCAAATTCCTAATCTCTCAAATTCCCAATCTCCCAAATCACCCATTCCTTCACCCCCAATTTCCAAAACTCCAACTCTCAAATTCCCAAATCCCCAAATCCCCAAATCCTCAAATCCTCAAATCCTCAAATCCTCAAATCCTCAAATCTCCAAATCCCCAAACTCCCAAATCTCCATCTCCCAAAATCCCAATTTCTAACCGCCCTTCCCAAACTTCCCTCACTAAAATTTCCCCAGAAACTCTCACTTCTACAATAATCCAAAGCTCCTCTATCAATCGCACATTCGAAGATCTTGAAAGTGAAATGAAGAAACGTGCGCGGAACAAATGTTTGAGCGTTAAGTGTCGAGTCACGAAAGGCTCGAAAGTCAGCAATGTTTTCTTGGTAGCTCGAGACTTCCGGCGTAGGTGTACGTTACATAGACAAGACACTGTTTGACTGAAAGTTCGAGTCCCCGTGTTTTTACGTAGAAGTAGTGTTCGCCGATTCCCTTTGATCTTGCCGACTAGTTACGATATCCCAGGATTCACGGATGTTTTCTTGTTGCAGATTCTCGTTGCAGACACGTCGTGGCGGACTTGTCAAAATATACGACAGCGCACTCATGTCCGGGGTAAGTCACACATACGCTCTTTCGTGTTATTTGGTGCTGTTTTCTCTGTATTGCTTTTATAGCCTGCTCTTTGATGTCACAGCTACTCTATTCTTCTCTATTTAACTGTATATTAGGTTGGTTAGGTTAGGTGTTTCATTCTACTCTAGCATACTCTTTATTTTAGGTTGGTTAGGTTAGGTGTTTCATTCTACTCTATTTTACTCTTTATTTTAGGTTGGTTGGGTTAGGTGTTTCATTCTATTCTATCTTATTCTTTATTTTAATTTGGTTTGGTTAAACTGGTTAGGTTAGGTGTTTCATTCTACTCTATTTTACTCTTTATTTTAGGTTAGTTATGTTAGATTGGTTAGGTTAGGTGTTTCATTCTACTCTATCGTACTTTTTATTTTATTATATATATTCCACTTTCATTTGACATGTTGGCTTGACGTTACTAACTGTTACTATATAGCTTCATTTCTTGTTATCTTTCTGTACTTTACTATTTTCCTGTGCTATTGGTTAGGTTGCTTCATTCTACTGTATTATACTCTTTATTCTATTATATTCTAGTTTCATTTGATTTGACTTAACGTTACTTACTGTTACTATGTAGCTTCATTTCTTGTTCTCTTTCTCTACTTTACTATTTTCCTGTGCTATTTCATTTTACTCTACTTTACTTTATTGTACTTCAAGGAAATACTGTATCTTTTATTTTATTTCACTTGATTCTTTTATATTTTTGTAGTTTCTTCTGTTGTAGATGCGGTTAATCTTACTCTGTTCTTTATTTTACTGTTTTTACTGTAAAACATATAACATATTATGTTACTGTATTTCAACATTACTCTAGTTGTTATTATAATTCATCTATGTACAATTACTCAGATTTGTCTCTAAAGAAACAATTTATAATTCTGATTTTTGCAGTCGAAATACAAAAGTCTGTTGGTATCGGAGCAGACCACAGTGGACGAGCTGATTCAAATGCTACTGAGCTGCTACAGCTCGAAAGAACGAGTAGAGCAGTTTTCTCTGTACGAGGTCTGCGAAGGCGAGGAGTACCAAAGAAAATTGCATCCTGACGATTCACCCCTTAAAGTCACGCAACGATGGACAAGCGCTGATCGCCATCTTCGTATAAGGCGCAATCCTGACTACAATCCTCACAGGAGAAAAGTAACTAATCTTTCTTATCTCTCCATAAATCCTTGATATCTTCTCATAATTAAAGCAATTTGTTATCTTATCCATACTTCATAAAATAACATGACTATACAACCATTGAACCCAGCCATTGTTTTCGCGTGAGAAAGCATTTGTCCCATCCGACTGAATTCGATTTACCCAGATCTCCGTTGCCCCCAACGTCGTCGAATCTCTCCCGTTACTCGACGACTCTCAAATAAATTTAAACGTCGTGCATTCTCGTCGCGGAAAAAAGGCAGCCATTAAAAAACAAACTCCTAACGCGACGGTTGTTAACCAGCTAAACCTCGATCCCGCGTTCTCACGCTTCAAACAAAGGAATTCTTCATCTTGGATCTGCTCCAAGATGGTCGCAAGCGTAATTACGCGTACGAACGCATCTCGAGGCGGTGCGTCAACCGCGCATCGAGCATTATTCATAAGAATGTATAATAGAAAGTCGAATTCGTTACACAATCGTCGGTTGTTCTTTGCAGAGTATGTGGGCGTCGGACTCGAGCATCAGCATGGCGATGTCAAGACTGAACCTGCACGCCAACCATCAGACCCACTACAACCAGTCCAACGACAACAACAACCATCTCCCCCTGTACCAGGACTCTACCTCCATCAACAACAACAATATTCACAAACTGGATCAACATCACCTGTCGCTGAATTGCTTGAATCAACCACCGAGAATCGTGGTGCCACATACGACGCAACTGCCACAGTTACAAGTTCCACGGGTACAACAACTGCCGCAGAGTGTACCCTCGACTCCAATCTCCTCGAAACATATCACTGCAACCTCGTATGCAGACTATGAGAATTACTTGTTCATATGAAGTTCGATGTCTGATGAGTCGGAAAAAGTTCTGTTTATGAGGGATGCTAGTGTAATGTACTTTTAGATGTCATGTAGACTTCTTCAGGAACATGTGAAAGGAACATGTGTTCTGTCATTTGCTTTTGGTTTGAGGAATATCTAAGGCAACTGTTACATTATATGGTAATTGTGTATGAGCTAATGGTGGAAATAATGGAATGCAGGTCTAATAAAATGTGAATTAAGAATACAGACAGTTGAATGTAGAAAAATTGTAGTAGCTTAAAGTGAAAGTAGTTTAAGCTTTGGTATAGGAAAACCTATGTCTAAGAAGATTCTCTGAATCTGGAGATTTCAAATATAAACCTAGAGAGACCTGGACCTAATGAAATCCAGAGCTGACGAGATCTAGACCTAAGAAAATCTGGATCTACAGAAACTCAGTCCTAGAGAAGCCCAGAATTGGGGAAAGGTGGACCTAGGAAAATGTAGATCTACCTAACTCTAGGTCTAGCGTTAAAAGTATCACTCTAGCACCATAACCTATAAAAACCCCAATCTATAAAATCCCAAACCTACAAAAATCTGGATCTACAAAAAATCTCTACCCAAATCAAAAACGTAGAAGAACCTAAATCCAGAGAAACCAGAAGAGAAGCCTAGGGAAAGCCTAAATCCCTCCACCTAAAAAGCAAATGGCGGAAAACTACTTCCTGATTGTAGTTTCTTTCCGACAGAACTTTTTCGCCCACTAATTTTCATCGTAGGCAGCAATTTGGAAAGGATTTTCATATCGTGTTTTGACGGAGCAAACTCTGATCGATCAGTTGTTTGATGGATCGTTTCAGATGTTGGAACTCATTCGAAGTGGTTTGATCGATTGCTCTGTTTCAACGTGTGGTACACAGTATTTGAACAGTGAAAGTTTCGCTAAAGACAGTTTGATGGAGTGCATGGTTTTGGAAGTATGTGGAGTTTCTGGCTGATGCGAAAAAATGAATGAAAAGGGCACTTTTTTATGTCGATAAGGCAGAACAAAGAGAATTTATGATTATAGTCAGTAGTGAAAACAATTGTACCAAAGGTAGACGTACGAAAATGCTAGTTATAGTGTATTCTATCGTATATGTGTAAATGTCGTTTGTTTTATTCCGAAGCCTCATTCACACCTATGTATGAATTAACGTGAAACGGACAGATTATTAATAAGAAACAGTTTGTTTTTAAACAATATAGGTGTGGATCAGGTATGATTAAGTCACAGTTCGTTCGATGATTATTTAATCCTTCGAGACTTATTTGAACATTATTTATCAATCTTATGCAACGAAAATTTGTATACATTTATAATAGAGTAAACGTTCAGAATAATCTCGCAGGCTTAAAATCGTGTATTTATACTTAGAATTGCATTTACCATCGTTAAATATAGACTCTATTATTTATTTATAACAACTGTAAAGCGTCTAAGCGAGTCTGGAGTCTTAACTTATTATTCGAATCCTCGACTGTATATTCGTGCAATCCGATCAAACGGGATTCGATGTTGTAAATAGAGTGACTCGAATAATTTTATCAATTCTCCATCATGGACAATTGTAACTCTGTATTTCTATGCATGTCGTTCCTTTCGATAGCACAAGGTTAACGAGTTTACCTGCTTTAACAGAAATGGCATTTAAAGACAACACGTACTATCAACGTTATAGCTTTTTTTCGTAGTTTGTAAATAGAGACGACTATTTGCATCCACGTTTTATTAACGGTGAACGTTGCATCCATTGCCAAAGAGTCGCTATACAAAATCGCGTGTTACAAAAACCAGACTATTTTTCTATTTTCGTTTATGCGTACGTTATTGGAGTGAAAACTTAATCCACGAGATGGTTGATCGAAATCACAGCGCGCGACTTACCAACAACTGTAACAGTACAATGAACCTTGTATTATTCCGAACGATACAGCCACCGTAGAGTGTACATAATCTCTGTTGTAACGTCGTTTTTGTAATTCACTGAAGAAAAAAGTATCGTTTCACGTGTCGTAATTTTGTTAGTTCGATTCTATTTATCCTTACCTGTTTTACAGCGTTGCGAAGTGTTTGGCAAAGTTTGGTACGTTTGATTTTGGGGCGCTTCAGATTTTGGGACACTTGGAATTTTAGGATTTTATGTCATTTGGGACACTTGGGATATTTGGAAATTTGGGGATTTTGGGACACTTGGAAATTTGGAGATTTGGGACACTTGGAAATTTAGAGATTTTGGGACACTTAGAATTTTAGGATTTTATGTTATTTGAGACACTTGGGATATTTGGAAATTTTTGGATTTTGGGACACTTGGAAATTTGGGGATTTGGGACAATTGGAAATTTTGGGATTTTGGGACACTTGGAATTTTAGGATTTTATGTCATTTGGGACACTTGGGATATTTGCACATTTTTGGATTTTGGGACACGGAAATTTGGGGATTTGGGACACTTGGAAATTTTTGGATTTTGGGACACTTGAAATTTTAGGACTTTGGGGTATTGGGACACTTAGGTTACTTGGAAATTTTGGGATTTTAGGACACTTCAAATTTTAGGACTATAGATCACTTGGGACACTTGGACCTTTAAGACTTTAGCACTTCGAAACATTAGAACTTTGCGACACTTAGAATTTTAGGACTTTAGGACACTTAGGACACTTGGGACACATGGAACACTTGCAAATTTGGGGATTTTGGGACACTTGATAATTTAGGAGTTTAAGTCACTTGAGACACTTGAGACACTTGGAACTTTTAAGACTTTGGGATACATGTGATATTGGGACATTTTAAATTTTAAAACTTTAGGACATTAAAGTCTTTGAGGCATAGGAACTTTGGGACTTTGAGACACAGGATTTTGGCACATTTCAAACTTCAGGAGCTTAAGACACTTGGTACACTTATAATTTTAGGACACTTGGGAAAATGTTTGGGACATTTGGAACATTTAGTACTTTAGAACACTTGGGACTTTAAGTCACTTTGAACTTCTGGACTTTAGGATTTGAGAACAGTTAGGATTCTGAAATACATGAGGCTTTGTGACAATGATACTTCAAAACTTTGATTGGAAGTTGTAGATTTGGACTTGGAACAAAGATATTTGAAGAAAATTACAATTGCATCGTGTGATGATAAAAATTTTATTTACAAATGCGACAAATGTAGGAATTTTGGTTACCAGTGACATATCGGAGAGAAACGAGCGTCACAATCGGTCGATCATCGATCGATACTTTCATCCGCCTCAACAAATAATTTCTTCTCTCCCCACTAGAACGCGCGAACGTTTTCGACTTGTACGTCCGCTCTCTCTCCCTGATATCACTGATAGAGGAGAGAATCACTGAGATGTAACAATAATAAACTTTACATTAAATACGATTAGAATCTAGCTATTTTTAAGGGCTATGCGGAGTGTTACAATAATAGAAATATTCATTTTCCAAGGAGAAAAGGATTCTTGCGGGACACGTTTTTTTTTTTAATTTGGAAAAATGGTGGGACGGGGCGTGTCGAAAGGGGCGGAAGGGGAAAGGGAAATATACTTTTTTTTTCGTTTGAAGTTTCAGAGGATAACATCACAGCATTGACATATCAACATCGAAACGATCAGAGCATCACGCCTCTCGAGAATCACCGACGATAAAACGAAATCAAATATCTGCTTCGAAGCTTCAAGCGACAGAAAGTCGAGGAAAATCGTCGAGGGACTCTGGAGAGGCGTGCTGCCACGGCCGTAGCACTTTTCATTTTTGCTATAGAACAATTTACAACATCTCGATAATTAATCGCCTCAATTCCGTCTCCGAATAACCGCAGTTCTCGCACATTAAACCGCAAATCCTCATCTCTTTCTCTCACACGCATTCATTCACCGTTCACACTGTCGTACATCTCGTTTGATTCATCAAACCAGAAACCAATACCGAAAACGACCGACACAATTGTTTCCACTCTTTCTCCTCTTGCACTCGTATTTGCTCTCCGGTGCGAACAACAATGAAATTAAAACGAATCTCGCTCGTCCCTTCTCTCACTCTCTCATCGCAACCAAGAGCAATCGCACGAGGGGAATAATAGACAATATACACAGGAAAAAACCTTTGATCCAACGAACCAGCCGCAAAAGAAAAATGACCGAGGACGTGGGTGCGCGCCCGCGTTTCTTCACAAGAGAAAAGAAATACAAAATTGTACGTAAGTACACGCGCGTGTCGTGCACGTGGGCCAACTGCGTACTACCTCCTCGTGGGAAAGCACGCAATAAATTTGAACACGTTTTCTTTCTTTTTATGACTCACAGGCGACAGGACGAAGTCCTCGGAGCCGGTTTGATTCGAATCGACGATCGTTCGGACGGCGTTGCAATTTGTGGATCGTGACATGTCGATGACGCCATTTTGTTCGCGATGGAGTTACGATTTGGCGGTCATCAATTTTTGTAGAGCTGCTGCTGTCGATATCAAGAAGTTTGACAATTCGGAATATCGTTTCGGTTGAAGTTTATTTACGATTTTGAAGTTTATTTTCAAACTTCAGCAACCTGACGCAATTTTTTATCGTTCAATTGTATTTGTCTTTATGAACTTCAAATCTAACCTAATATCACCAATTTAACCTCCTACAAGGTCCTATATAATTTAGATCTATTCTTGTCTCAAATTAGGTTATGTTTGAACAAGGATAAAGAGATTTGAATAATGGAGTTGTGTGTCGGGGTGGATTAGATTAGATTTGAAATTTAGATGAGAACAAATCCAAACGATAAAATTATACAATTCTGTATCCCTTGGTCTTGACGCATGTCAATATTAGCAGCACCTCTATGACATGTAAACTCGCATGCGAACTTCTAACCTAAAGTAAGAATTACGTCACTTTCTATCAAATATAACAGAAAGTAGACAGAAATGTTGAGAAACGCCAAAAATCACGATCATCGAGTCAAATCGACAATGGCACCCGCGTCTCAATTCTCTGTACACATTTTCGAAATCATAGTGTAACACGGCCAACAATATTTATTGCGAATGCCTTAAGGCTCGTTACAGGGACAGGCGTTTCGCGATATCTCTAAGCATACCGAGAGACGATCCCCATCGACCGAGGGTTGTTCGATTACCCGAAACACGCAATATACTTTCGACGTACGAACGGAACAGAGAAAAATCGTTCGACCCTCCACCGATGCGTCGTACCCGATTTTTTTGGACCTTCCAACCATCGTAATAGGGTTGCGTTCGTGGATGGCGTCGATCGCACGAAAATCGTTCGTCGCGACGCCGATAAGCAGGCTTTTTATTTAATCAACAACGTTCACGTGCACACGGTGCAACCAACGCGGATATAACTTCACTCCCACGTAATTAAAGAATCAATTCGCGCCCTGTTTCAACGAATTGTACGCTCATTTACACCCGGAAAGGTTCACTCTCGCTTCCAGTCTTCCCTCTCTCGCTTTCCAATCTTTTAAACCAGCGGTGGCGAAAATTTTTGGGACACCTTTGTAAATCATTCATCGATCGTTAATAAAACTTCGAAATTAACATGAGAGTAATATTCAGGTTTAACCGGGAAAATTCGATGAGTTTTAATTCTATAAGGAGAACGAAATATGAAGCTGATATGAAGGCTAGAGCAATGAAAATCTTGATAAGTTTTGAATATAACAGCGTGTATGTAAAAATGACTAAACCTCACCACCACTGTTCTAAACTGTGTTTAAAACATCGTTAGTCTTGTAGTGTTCCCGATTGGACTTTCAGCGTTCCCGTTATCGCGTATCCGTTCGATTTTTGCTATTTTCTGTGTACATTTTTTTATAAGATTTTTTGGTGATTTTTTGTGGGGGGACAGGTGGCGATTTCTCTTGTCTTCTCTAGATAGGTGTGATCTTGCACGCATCGAGCGTCACGCGCGAGCCGTAACTATAGATCGTTTACGAAGAGACAACTACGAAGAGATTTATTTACGTAAACCCGAATTGTTGTCGATTAAGCTACGATTTCTTATCTCTTTCGTCTGACGTTAATTTAGCGAGCTAGTGGACGTTTACAGATTCTCGAACGCTATTTCTCGATACACCGAAAGAAAGAACGGACCGGAAGCCGCTAACACTTCTAAACTGAAATTGTACGTACAAGCCGACGCGACGGAATGCTCGCTTGTTCCGTTTTTCAAGTAGCTACGAAATCGTTCTCTACGAGAATATTCATGTCGGTATATGTGTATGTTGTACTTGTGTCACTGTAACACGCCCTAAACATGTCTTCGTTTCAGGTCTGCGTGATGTGGGTTTCTATCGCTGCCTATCGCGAGAGACTCTTTACAAAATATTATACAAAATTTCCAATAATTCTAACAACCTCGTCGCACGTTTCCTCTATCGATCGCTTTAATTACGTCGGTAGCGCCTACACAGCTAACGACTCGAAAATCAGTTGATCTACGCTATATGCATAGTTACTCTCCAGGAACGAAGCGGAAACTCGTTAAAATAATCGCCGAATCGCGTAGTAGCGCGGCGTTCCGCGCACGGATATCTTCGATCAGGCATGAAGAATCATAGTTCGAAAGAAATTCTGGCTACTACTGAGCATTCGTGTTCGATCGAACTCGAAACGAACGCGAAAAGGCAAACGCGCCTGTACACGAGTGGAAGCGTGAGTATCCTCGTGCAGGTATCTCATCGATCATCCTGTCAAATATATTTCACCTAATATTTACAAACGTCGGCTGCGAATGGATTTTTACGATAATCAGGCAATTTTCTGCCCGGAACGGTTTATTTTTTTTTACTCGGCGAATATCGAACGACGCAATCGTTCCGCACGGTACTTCGCTTTTTTCGTCTCGTTTTCTTCTTGTAATTTCCTTACAAAAAAAATCTCCTTGCCTAAAGGTAAAAGAGTGAAACTTTCAACGTCGACAAGCGAAATCAAGCGCCTCGGAAATTCGTTAACAGCAAGCGAAGATTTAGAAAATTATCGAAGGCTGATCTTCGCACGAACATCTATCTAATCATTAAGGCGCCACGCAGATTCCAGTCGAGGAATGTTTCGCGTAAACATCCATTCGATGATACCTGGGCGCTGGTAAATTTTAATGGACATTGGCGTAACTGCAGTGCAGGGTGGGTCTTAGTAGGTTGGACATTTTTAGAGTTAGTTATTAAATATTTAAGTACGAAGTTTCGGAATTTATGGGAGTGTTGTATATTTGCAGATTTTTTAAGACTAAAAGTTTTCAGATTGTTAATTCTTAAATTTACAATTCTTGAAAATCTAAGTTTGAAGTGCACTCTTAGGTCAGCAACTTATAAAATTTCTGATTCTTAAATTCTCAATTTATTAATTTCCAGTAGGTAATTCTGTAAATGTTCAATTTCTATATCTTCACTTCTCAAGGTTCTAAATTTCAAACCTTTAATTCCAAGATCCTCAATACTTAAATCCCCAGTTTCAAGATTCCCAATGCTCAAATTCCTAATCCACAATTTTGCAATTCTCAAGCCTCCAATTTCTAAATTTTCAATTTCTCAAAACCCCAATTTCTCAAATTTTCAATCTCTCAAGTTCCCAATCTCCCAAATTCCCAATATTTCAAATTCTCAATATTTCAAATTCCCAATTTTTCAAATTTCCAATCTCCCAAATTCCAAATCTCCCAAATTTCCACTCTCCCAAATTCCAAATCTCCCAAATTTCCACTCTCCCAAATTCCAAATTTCTCAAATTTCCACTCTCCCAAATTCCCAATCTCTCAAATTCCCTATCTTCCAAATTCCCATTCTCCCAAATTCCCACTCTCCCAAATTTCCACTCTCCCAAATTCCCAATCTCTCAAATTCCCTATCTCCCAAATTTCCACTCTTCCAAATTCCCAATCTCTCAAATTCCCACTCTCCCAAATTCCCACTCTTCCAAATTCCCAATCTCCTAAATTCCCAATTTCTCAAATTCCCACTCTCCCAAATTGCCACTCTCCCAAATTCCCACTCTCCCAAATTCCCACTCTTTCAAATTCCCAATCTCTCAAATTCCCACTCTCCCAAATTCTCACTCTCCCAAATTCCCAATCTCTCAAATTCCCACTCTCCCAAATTCCCATTCTCCATTCTCCCAATTTCCCATTCTCCCAAATTCCCACTCTCCCAAATTCCCACTCTCCCAAATTCCCAATCTCTCCTATTCCCACTCTCCCAAATTCCCAATCTCTCCTATTCCCACTCTCCCAAATTCCCAAATCGTCAATATTTAAATTTCCAATCCTCCATCTTTCTAATTTTCAAATCTCCAACTCCCAACTCCTCAATCTTCTTCCCAAAATCCAAACTTCGAAGTTAACAGCCAGTCCACCTCACATAAAAACCTACAGCTACGCCAATGAACAGTGTAAACGCGCTGAAAAAAGATTCGCGTCTGTTCAGCACGCGAACACCTGGCTAATATAATCTTCCCGCGCCAATCATTTGTGGTGGCGAATAAACAACGAGTCTGACGAGAAATCACTTTCAATTACTCTCGATCGGAACGAGGATCGCTGACAAAATGGCGCCTCCTTCGCGGCAATTCGAGAGAACAAACGGAACAACGTCGAAAGAAGGAGGCGATCCACAGGTTCGAGTTTCGTGAAAGAAAAAGCTCGAACAACGATCGATCCGCGTGAAAATTGGCATCAAAGGTGCATCAGCTTCGAAACAATAAAGCTTGACTAAAATTCACACAGCATGCGACAAATTGTCATAAAAGCACGCTATTCGAACGTAATCATTTTTGGAACGCCTCGTTCCTACCTAAAGTGTTTCTTCAAAATTCTTCATTTTTTAAGAAACGTGCCATTAACCCTTCCAGTGCTATAACATTCAAAAATCGATGCACTTCGAGCACTGTAATATCGTATTGGTGCAATTATTAAATTAGATATTTCTTATTTCGTTCCATCACGTATCGATAATATTAATATGTGTGTAACCAGGGGAGGATAGAATCTTAAGATCGATTTATTTTTACAAAATGCTAATCAACATAATTGCAATTAAATCTAACGAGAGTAAATTGAACTTCTTTCTAGGGTAAAGGTCACTTTTAGAAGAGTGGCTACATACATAATTAAAACTGTGCAAAATTTTGCATATTTATCAAAATTATTTAGCAATGAAAGGGTTAAAAAACGAACACGAGTTCGTGTTATCAGCCACGATCCACGCAATCGATGTGTCTGTGTACGTGTGTCAATAATGTATTTGTTAAATACAAGTTTGCAGGAAATATAGTGCATCAAAAGCGTCCAGAGGACTGAAAATGTGTTCGAACAATGATAATCTCACAAATAAGTTTTAGTGTAGAAAGTGATCCTCGATGCAGCTGACAACACTGCGGCAATCGAAACGAAAAGGACTCGTTTTTTTTTTTTAAAGGCTTCTTACAATATGTACACGGTATAACTATTGGATTCGTTTATCTATGGTATAGTATCTTCTTCATTCTTTCTCTTTCTCTCACCCTTTCACTCTGTCTCTCTCACTCTACTTTTTTTCCTGTACTTTACCTCGATCGGAATTTTTTGTCGAGCGACAGAGATGGAAGTGTTCACCGCGTATACAATATATTCATATTTATATATTATTATTTATGTATGTATACTATATACACAAAGTAGTGTTCAATGTGTTGCTGTGTGTGTGCACGTACACCGTCAGCCAAAACCGTGGGATCTTCATCAAAATTACGTCTCGAAATACTTTATATAAATTATATTCTCTAATCGCAAAAGATATGTCGTATAATTCGTATAAATTTGCTAATACGCTACTCTTTTAACCTCTTCAAGATGGCTGCCACACTTCAGTTATTTTTAAGTTTAACCTATGGCTACATATGTTTTCTGTTAACGCTTCTGGAACTTTTAATTACCATTTAAAGTAAGTAGAATTAAAATCTATTTCGATAAAAATTGAAGAGGTTAATGCATTCGAAATAGACCTATTTTCCTATTTTAAGAAGTCAAGGCTTGAAATAGTGAGATTAAAATTTGAAAATCTTCTAAAATCTTTCATCTACCGACTTGCATTCGAACTTGAACTTCAATAAATAATTTTCGTAACTTGATAAATAGAACTGATTAAAAAAGTAGGAAAATTTCGTAGTATAACACGTGCAAGATCTAAAGTTATCTTATTTTATAAAAGAAAGAACGTCTTAGATCTACAATTGGTCTACAGTAGATTGAATTAGCTAATTGCAAATATTTTAAAGAATTCGATTCTACGTCTTTGGTCCCACACTTTTGACCGATAATGTACACGCGTGTGTGTGCATGTCCTTTTCGTGTCGCGTGTGTTTAGTGTTCTGTTCCACGTAATAGACTCTAATAAAACGTATAAACACGTCAACCTAGCGCGGCGATCGTCAACGCGCTTCGATAGTCGAAAACTTTCAACTGTTCGATTATTATCACGATGATCTGATCCCAACCCATCGCCACGCGTTAATTCGTCTTTGCACCGATTCGAAATCGTTGAAAATTCGTTTCGAGCTTCGTCGCGATTTCCTCTAAGAAAATTCCTAATATAGAATTTATCCGTACGGTCGATTCTAAAACAATATTCGACTAGAGTGACTTTCTTCGTGTTCTTTTTTCTTCGTCGTTTCCTCCTACGAGTCGACTATCATTGTTCTCACGGCCGAATTGAAAGAATACTACGCAAAAATTCGTATCTCGAAATTTTCTCGTAACAATGTCTCTTCCTTTTTCCTTCGTCTACCTAATTTTTCGAGCGAAGATCTCGTGCCTTTGAATACCTGTTGCCGATTCACAAAGCTCTCCTAGGTAATTCGCAATCACGAAGCTTTAATTTGCTTCTCGTGGGGGTGGGTATAGGGGCCCGGGAGGAGTGAGCGCAAAAATTAAGGCCCCAGGGCTCTTTTTTCTCTTTTTATCTTTCTCTCTTTCCCTCTCTCCCTTGCTCTCATTCAAGATTTCTTTGATTTTTAATTATACTCATCTCGTTGAGCTGGTTCCGCGAATGGGGGATTTATCCTGTGCGTACCATATCGACTAGGACATTCGATTATTGTTTTTTCAACCCCGCCCATCGTTTGCGGAATTCCTGTTGGGAAAAATGCTCGTGAAAGTTTTCGCTGGCTAATCTCCTATGTTTCTCTCACTCGCTCGCATTCTTTCACTCTCGATATTCTCGAACGGGGACAGAAAAGCCATATTTTCTTTTTTTCACAACAACGTTGCATGACAAGGATTCTACGTTATTCCTATCGTTTACGTTCGAATGGATCGTACGAAATTAAGGGGATTTATTCGAACGATACGAAAATAGAATCTACGGATCTGTGGGTCTTGAGATACGCCTCGTTAGAACGCATATACAATTTACCATAAAAATAGGACGCTGCTTCTTACTTCTCTCGAGGCTCGAAGACATTTTGTATCGTGGAGTCAGGCCCGAATCATAACACTTTACTGATTTCGCTATTTTTAGACTTCCAAGCCTCGGAAATTTTTAACCTTGCAATTTTTTAAGAGTTCAAATTTTTAATAGTCTTTCGGACATTTGTTGAAACTTTAAATCTTTAGAAGCTACACTTTTGTATTTTCGGACTTTGAGGTAATTTTAGTAATTCAGAGAAGGAGTTTGAGAAATGCAGACATTCTTGTGTTCAATAATTCAGCCCTGACTAGCGTGCACGCATACAACCAAAAGTTTCCCTAGGAAAGATGACGTAGATCTTCAAGAATACACATTCAGTTTAAGTATTCGATTCAAAGCAAGTTCATTTAATAAGTAAAATGAACGTCGTGCAAGAAATGTTTAGACATAATAAATTGAGTGTTAAAAAGTATCGTCATTTTTCCTAGCGAAACACCACAATACGCCCCACTTCCAGTTTTCAAATTGCAAGTAATAGTCTTGGGCACCACGTAACATACTCGAAAAATGATTATTATATTATCTTATTTGGCTAGGTGTTATTCGATATAATTGTGCGTTATTTCGTTATATGGCTATGAAAATATGACAGGCAATTTTACCATAACCTTTCAATATCAGAATATCTTAGACTTATCTCAGAATTACTTGATTACTTCCTTAATTTCTCTGCGTTATTTCTAAAACAAAAGTAGCAAATTATTTTATCAAACGTGCCCAAGAATATATTCAGCAAAAATAAAACGACTGGCACAGTTTCTGAATCTCTCATAGCGTGCACGCTTCACGATACAATAGTCGTACGATGTAGAAAATCTGCATGACGGCATATCAATTACCGGCGACAAAACGAAAGAAGGGAACAGAATTTCGTGGAGCCTGGCGGTAGCGAAGCGTATACTGGGCTAGCGTAATCGGAAAATGAACGATTGTTACGGGTAGCGGACAGGAAAGAAACCCCACTAACAGACCAGAGCGACAAATTTCGCTAAGGTAGCATTATAAGCACTTCGTACGTTCAGTAGCGTACCAGGTGGCGACCCCACTAAAGAGCAGTGGTGCGCAGGTGGGGACAGCGCTGTAGCGACAGGCCCCGGGGCCCCAGCTCCTAAATGGCATTCAATGCGCGCGGGTCTTGCTGCTGGCGACGCCTCGATGCACTGCCATAATCGACGCCACCAACGTACGATTCCTCCTCGGTGCCATAATCGTGTTCGCCACGATCACCACGATCACGATCCATCCTCTCCAACCTCGATCTTCTCGTTCCTTCGCTCACGTGTCCGCCGCTGTACGAGCCCGATCCTGGATTTTAACAAACTTGTCATTTCTCCATCAATTTATTTACACACTTTGCCTGAATTTCTGTAACTGTACCATCTGTTATATGTGGTACTGGTTTCGTTACAGACATTCGGCAATTATCAAAAATTCGAAAGGGCAGTGATGACATATTCTTAAGCTCTCAAGATGAAATGTACAATTGTATTTCGAACGGGAAAGATTCGTAGCAATATATTCGTAGTAATATTTTACGTAGTCGTTATATTACCACCTTCATTATTATGTGTACTTAACATGTCTGACGGTCGCCATTTTCTATGGTAACGTCCTCCATGCTCAGCAATGTACACTAGCGACACTGTCTCAGTACTGTACAGTTGTTTTGATTTCATATTCATATGTGGCAATGAAATTTGACTTTAATGCAATATTTGATAGTAATGAAACTTGTCTTTAATGCAATGCTTGATAGTAATGCAATTTGACAATAACGCAAAACAAAATGAAATACTATTTGTAACATCACTTCCTTTCGACTTTTAATTTCCCAAGCTCGACGTAACAGGGCAAAATTAATTTTCTCCAATCGTTAAACGTTACGTCGAACTTGAGACGAGTCTCGTTGTTTCCACTCCAAAAAACTATATTATCAGAGAGAATGTTACTTCGATTACAGTTAATGGTCACTGTCAAACGGTGAGGAACCAATCAATCCACCTACTACGTGTCACATATCTAAGAACACTGAAAACACCTCACACTACTAACAGTAAGTTGCATGCAGGGCTAGCTATGCAAAAAGACCGGAAAAAAAGGCAAAATAAAAAACGAGAAGGGAAAATACACGCTGCAAAGACTCCGACGTTCGAGTTGTATCCTTGCGTGGGAGCGCAAGAAATCGAGGAACTCTAAAAACTTTCAAGTCCATCCTTCCGTGGACTCGTTTCGCGAGCGAGCGAACGGAAAAAAAATAGAAACATTCGCGGAACGAGATTCTCGCGTTAGAAAAGGAATGAGGGGCACAAAAACAAGCCAATGTCCCAAAAGAAGGATTTCGAAGATCCTGTTCGAAGGAAACCCGCGAACGAGGTACAATTAATGTCGACAACTTTTCTCGTTAATGCCTCTAACACGTTAAACTACTCTATCCTCCTAATCTATATTGAGAAGGGTTGGTGAAGGGCTTTTGCGAGACAGACAATAAAAAAATTGACAAATAAAAGGAACCAGAGTCAACAAAATCTGAATCTTAACCCTTTAACGCTTAGTCGCGCGATTTTGTTAATTTGATTACTTGACGAGTGGTGAGACGTTGGGACTGTAGATGGCGCCTCTATCGCGACTCGAGAAGGAATACAAAATGGTGGCTTGAGGCTTGAAACTTCCAAGAATTTCCACAAAATATTCAAAGTATCAAAGTAACTTTTGAAGTACCAGATCATCAAATATTTCTAAAACCAAAAATTCGAAGGTTTGAAAGTCTCAAACCCACGAATATCCAAAGTTAGAAAGTCTTAAAATATCAAAATTGTAACGAAGCAAAATTTTAAAGTAACAAAATCCCAAAGTCCCAAAATCCGCCATTCGAAGATTGAAAGATCATCATGGTACAAATACGCAAAATACTAACTGGGTCAAAATGTGGGTGACAGCGTTAAGGGGTTAATGACGAACTTAGACTATAACGAAAGAAAACGGTCCCGAAAAACGGAGCCGAAAGAATAAAAAAAGGAACAAACAGATAAAACGAGGAGGAATATCGTGGGTGTCGTGACGAACAAAAGTAATCGTAATACATAATAAATCATAAATCCTTCTCTTTGGGCAAGAGAAACAGGTAGGTCCCGTTCACCGGGCCCATGCACCAAACCCGTCTGTACTTACAACGCGACCTCATAAAGGAGGTTTCCCTATTACACACAGTCTCTAATTCTCTCAATATCCTCGTATTAAGGAGTTGGTCGGGGAGGACGAGTTGCACAATTCATCGGTCGGTCTACCCCGTTAAATCTCATCCGTGATGAGGGAGGAAGTGTGGAACAGGTCGGTCGTATATTTTCAAGGCCGACCCTCGTTGTACGTGAGAGCATTTTCTTAGCTCGACTCTTTGGGCTTGTTCTCGTCACCCCGACCATAGGTGAACTGGCCCTGTTTTCGGATGACTCCCGTGGCAGCCACCGCCTCCACGGCTTTTACACGTAAACAAAGAGAACATCGGAGTCAGAGCTGATTGCCAATTTTGCGTGAACCTGGCCTATCGATACTGTTCAATTTTTATTACGTTATTTTCGTGATCTGTACCGGGTCTCCGTCTCGTTGACAATATGAATGCAAAGCGTGGAGTGAAACGAGGAGGAGCTTTTGGAGGTGATACGGTTAGGACATTTAGGCTGTAGCTGGGGTGGTTAGTCTTGCGTAGCGCACACGGGTGGATTTCGAATGACAACCCTCGACTGATACATTTTTACAAATTTGAAAAATTACTCATACTACCTCTAATCTTTTGACGAGTCTATTTCCATAAGTGACATCATTAGATTCATAGTATCTTCATCTCACATAAGAAACTCCATAAAGTACTATAATATTAAACTAATATAATTTGTGCAAAATAAGAGACGTACATATCATACTCAGTCTACTGAGATATCTACTTCCACAACTCTATAATTAAACCCAAAGTTGTAATTTTAAATAAACTGTGACAAATGTAAGTAAAGGTAAGTCGATATCAATCGAGGGTCAGTATGATAAAATGTATATGATCTATAAGGTGCAACGGCCTTCGTGCTGGTTTTCTGCAAAACTTCTCATCCACCACCTGATCGAATTCTAATGAATATTAATTAGCGGCGATGAAATCCACTCGTGTCAAGGTAATTGAGAGCGCAGCGTGCACGAGGTAAGCTGCAGCTAAAGAATGTGATAAACGATCATATAGATGAGGTGAATGCATAAAGATCGTATGATCCGTTTCTTTCTCGTGTCGGAGAGCAGGAAAGGGAGTAGATGAACAAAGAAAAAACAAGATGAACACGTGGTTGAAACTAACGAGAGCAAGCGCGCCATTGTCTTGCTGCGGTTGATACAAGTTTGCCGATCCATACATTGTCGCTGAAAAGAAATTCAATGTAAAGGTGTCTTGCTTCTTCATCGATCACTCGTCCGTGACGATATCATCTATGCATAATTCTCGATCTCTCGAATAATCTTAAAGACTGCTAGTTTCGACCGGTAGAACGCGGAAGTACTTGTGCTGTTTGCTCTCTCGAGTGATATACGTCGATCGTGAAATTCAGATACGTTAGAGCAACTATATAAAGACCACGAAATTATAGCTCGAGTATTCTGTTTTCACTTTTAAACGAATCTATTAAAATGTTTATGTACCTTCTCATAAAGTTGTAAATCAGTGCTGTTTTTATGACGCGTATTAAATTGGCAAAAATCAGATTTTACCATCGACAGTGTATATAAATTTATGCGTTCTGTAAATTTGAAGTCTTCTTAAATATAAGCTCTCCATGAATTTAGATCTCTAAGCTTAGGATCGCCCTAAAAGTTCAGAATTTTCCTAAGTTTAAAATTTCCCTAACATTGCATTTTTGCTAACAATTACCGATCCTCAGATTAGAATTTCCTTAAGCTTGAGACCCAACTTCGTCCTTTAAACTACGATAAAAATTATTTTAGTCAATATTTTAACCAATAGGTTAATACATCAGAAGTTGCCAATTTCACTTTGGTATTCAACATAAAAATAAATGTGATACCTGAACCGATCGAAACGACATAAAAGTAGAGCGGAGAAATTACAAGAAAAAGTAAGATATTTTCTACGTCGTTTAATGTGCATTCGACGGCAAACGTGCCTTCGTATATCGAACGTATCGTAATAATTTACAAGGCTGAGTATAGGTTGTATAACCACTAGCAGTCTTTTTCGATAAGAATAACTCTACATTCTAACATGAGTTCATGCAACGACTACGTGCAGCTAAATGATACCAGTTACTACACACGTGTTTCATTACTAGCTTCGAATGTCGATAGTATCCTCAAGAAATACATCGTACGTTATCAAAGTTTCTAAAAGAATCTTTCTTCAAGCGAGTAACGTAACACTGCGCGGTGGTTAACTCGTGGAGAAGGATTTTTGTTAGATGATTTGTTGGTTTAATTGGGGCTTAATTTTTAAAATTCTCAGTCTGAATTGTTGGACCTAGAAATATTATTGGAATCTAGAAATATTACAGTATTTGTCATATTATATGTCTTCATGTTTTTATTTTAACCCCTTAGCTTACAATGACGCCTCAGAGACGTCATAAGTCTGTCAGGTCAAATATAAACAAGACGATCTTTATGGCACGTATAGTTGGAAATTAAATCGTAAGACAAGGGGTTAACTATCGAGTGATTTCGTAATCTAAAAGCTGTTAAAACATTTATTTTGTTGGATGATTACAGACTCGGAAGAGAATTGAAAAAATTAAGGGAAGAATTAGGGAGGGTTCGAGTCACCAGCCTCGTGACGTGTACCTGAAGAGGCAAGATGTTAGTCGATACCTTGTTAAAGAGTCTCGAACTATAATCGACCTATTGTCATGACTATCGAGGATCTAAATGAAGACTACAAAGGATAACCATGAAGAATGATAATCTGTCCAAACGACGATACGCGTTCGATCGATTCCCAAAAGCTGAATACCCTGAAGATCCCCTACGGCCGTCGACTCCATTCTCCGCGATAATGAAACGTAGAAAATTTCGAAACTACGTAGTCGACGGAATCGCACGATCTGACGACGTTGTCGGAATGAACGGGATACCTGATGTGACGCGAGGTGTCAACGCATCCACGGGTACATCGGGTGCAGGAATGGGACGTGGCACGGACGCGATCACGGGAGGATGCGTGGCTCTCCAGTAAGCTTCCAGGTACTCGGCCACGTGCTCGCAAGCCTCCTCCAGCTGATTCTCATCCAGGATCACGTCGAACATCTCCGGCGGACACTGGGCCAACTTCTCCGCTGCTACCATTTGTACGTTCAGGTGTCTGATTTGCGACTTGCCACGCGTTTTGATCAACCTCTGCAGCACTTTCGGCGACGAGATCTTCAGGTAGACGATCGTTGGCGCTAGACTGGTCTTCGCTAATTGCGACGGGTGATTTATGGTGTCGCAGTCGAGTACCACTAACTGGAAGCCGAACAGATACGATCAAGGATGGATTTAAGGGATGATGATCGTTTAATTACCTGCAACGTTCTGGCCAGCTCGAAAATCCTCTCGATCTCCGCTTGAACCTCCGCCAGACAGCTGCTCCTACTGGTGGATCGTTCCATGATCGCTCTTTTTGTTGGATTATTTAGCAACGATCTCTTCGCTAGCGAAATGTCTGCCATTACCCTAGTGATAATTATTCTGCAACCAGAGCTTTAATTACTATTTCTCTTCGGCAGTTGAGATTCGTTTGGTAATTATAGAATAGGTATTCAAGTATTGATTTTCTTTTACACTTTATTGCACGGATATGTGATAAAGAATGTCTGCAATGAAACTTCTGAGGAAACAATACACACATTTATTCGATACATTGTTATTTATACTGTATTATAACATTGTTATAAGTCGTGTAATATAAATGAAACGTCTAGCCATTTTTAGCAAACTGAACATCAAATGTGACATCAAATGTGACATCGAATATGACATCAAATGTAACATCGAATGTGACATTTTGTAATATGGCGTCAGTAAATCATCTAGCCTAATATATAATTACCATGTTAGCAGAGAATGAAGTTAGAGGTGAACTAACCTGCCAGCAAACCGATGCTTCAAAAAATCAAACAGCGCCTTCTGCATCATATCCGTGACCTGATAACCCTTCAACGAAGGACCAACCAGGACAACAGGCCTCATGGAAGGTACCACGTCATACGGTGTAGTCGTCTCCTGAAAACCCACGAACAAAGTTAAATCAGCTTCGATCGAGACGAGCCTTAACCAGGATCAGCCCTACGAATAGTCTCACTTACGTCGGACTTCGTAAGCACGGAATGCAACATCAAAAACATTGAAAACAGTTAATGGCCACGTCAAGTGGAGACATGCGACCTACTCTGCACGGCCAAAGTAAGTACATACTTGCTGATAATGTCGCTTCGAATAATTCTTCAACTTCTAAAAGGCACTTTGGCCAAGCAGTGTGTACGATAACTACGATCGACCTAAACTATCAACGACCTCCTACGGACTAATCTCACCTAGAAGCTATTCTACGACATTCTGCAAACAATTTTATTGGGAAGAATCGTGTTTTTGGGAGATTAGGTTTTTACAGCTTTTAGTTTTTTTGGTTTATAAGCGACTAGCGATTATTCAAGTTGGGTTACCTTGAGTTTTAATTATTTAAGATAAGTTTGGTCAGATTTTTAGGCTGCAAATTTGTGCAAACTGGTAACGGAGATTTCTGTTGTGGAGGTAGAGTTATTGTGGAGTTATCGATCGATGCTAGAAATTTTGAAATTTTATGGGTTTCTAAGGGTTCTTCAATTTTTGAGGACTTGTATTTTCATTCTGGTTGATAAATTTTGGAAGCTCTGGATTTTCAAGTTTTTAGAAATGTAATTTTCAGATTAGTGATTTTGTAAGCTCCCAATTCTTTAATTCCTGAATTACTGAATCTTTAAGTTCTTAAACCCCAAACTATGAAATTAAGTATTTAAATTATGACATTTTCAAATTTCCAAATTTTCAAATCCATCTGTTCTTAGATCTCCAAACTTTCAAATCTTCAAATTTCCAATTTCTCAATCCCCAAATTCTCAAATCCCCAATTCCCAAATTTTCAAACCCACCAGTTCATCAATCTTAAACTTCCAAATCTTCAAATTTACAATTGCTTCAATCCCCAAATTCTCAAATCCCCAATTCCCAAATCTTCAAATCCACCAGTTCTCTAATCTCTAAACTTCCAAATCTTCAAATTTCCAATTTCTTCAATCCCCAAATTCTCAAATCCCCAATTCCCAAATTTTCAAACCCACCAGTTCATCAATCTCAAATTTCCAAATTTTCAAATTTCCAATTTCTTCAATCCCCAAATTCTCAAATCCCCAATTCCCAAATTTTCAAACCCACCAGTTCATCAATCTCAAATTTCCAAATTTTCAAATTTCCAATTTCTTCAATCCCCAAATTCTCAAATCCCCAATTCCCAAATTTTCAAATCCACCAGTTTCTCAATCTCAAATTTCCAAATCTTCAAATTTCCAATTTCTTCAATCCCCAAATTCTCAAATCTCCAATTCCCAAATTTTCAAATCCACCAGTTCTCCAATCTCTAAACTTCCAAATCTTCAAATTCCCAATTTCTTCAATCCCCAACTTCTCTTTCCCCCAATTTCCAAATAATCTCTAAACTCTTAGATTTCCAAATTTTCCCTCAACCCCTAAATCCAAAAATTCCAACTTATCAAACCCGCAATTCTTATAATCCAAATTCCACATTTATGTCTCCCAGTCCCAAATTACCCATTTCGAGTCTACCAATTTTACTCGACTAATAACGTAAACAAGTACTAATTGTACCTTCTACAAATACCGACTAAAAGATCTTCCAATTCTCCATATAAACAGAAAAACAAATAATTCATTTAAATTCTTCAGGTCCACAGAGCAGTCAATAAGAGCATCGTCAACGAAGCTTACAGTTTGATCGTTCGCAGACAGAAATTATTATGCAAACTCTGTCCGTTTGATCAAGACTCCGAATGCTCGATGTACTTTTTCTTTCAACAGATATACCACGATGCAGAAGATCTAAGTCTCCTAAACACACAGTCGCATACTCACAGAAATAAATCTGCTAGTCCTCGCGTGGCCCACGATATTTTCTAGCACCGACTGATAAATTTAGACACGAAAGCCTCGTCCACGTCACCGGCTTTATCGCACACACCGAATCTTTGCCAAATCCATGAAAAATGTTAATCTCGTCTGACTACCGATCGCTAGAGGGATCGTAAAACATCTTGTATCGAGTATACAAACGGTTTCGAGCCAGACTTTAAACAACCCGGACGAGACTTTCCGCATAGTTTCGCCCGTTCTCTACCGGCTAAATTCGATGAGAAGCACGATGTTAGAACACACATAGAAGGGAATCGAGATAGACACGAATTGCGACACGTTGATGTCGTTTACCGGCTTCTTGAAGAAGTTCTTCCGTTTCTCCTTGGCCGGTGGTGTGGTCAATGTTGCCTTACCGCCACGTACGTTCCCCACACTGTCGCTGTCGTCACCTGTCGACGAAACACAATTTCATATTAAATCCTTATCGGGTCGTTTCCGTCCTGTGCATCGATAAGTGTCCCTCTTTCTCTCAAGGAAAAGTGAGAAGCTTAATGCAAGTCTAGGGTACTAATTCGATGCATCGGTTCTCGAGATAGTGAAAGCGATTAGGTCGTTGCACGTAAAATCTGTTACATATTTTGGAATTGTAACTAAAAGCAAATTTATCTGAATTTAAAAATTAGATTATTACAACAGATTTTTTTGAAGACTAAAAAATGTATGATTTAGTAAAAAATTTTTTTGTTTGAAAAATTTATGATTTTGCAGTCTAAACAATTTTAAAAGAAGTTCCATGTTTTGGAGCTATAACTAAAAGCAAATTTATCTGAATTTGAAAATTAGACTATTACAACAGATTTAAAAAAAATTTTTTTAAATTTATGTTTTTGAAAAATTTTTTTATTTGAACAATTTATGATTTTGCAGTCGAGGCAATTTTAAAACAAGTTCTATGTTTTGGAGCTGTAACTAAAAGCAAATTTATCTGAATTTAAAAATAAGACTATTACAACAGATTCTTTTTTAATTTTTAAAAATTGATGAGTTATTTAAAAAATTTTTTTATTTGAAAAATTAATGATTTTACAGTCGAAGCAATTTTAAAACAAGTTCTATGTTGTGGAACTGTGACTAAAAGCAAATTTATCTGAATTTAAAAAGTAGACTATTACAACAGACATTTTTTAATTTTTAAAAATTTATGATTTATTTGAGAAATTTTTTTATTTGAAAAATTGATGATTTTGCAGTCGAGGGAATTTTGAAACAAGTTCCATGTTCTGGAACTGAAACTAAAAGCAAATTTATCTGAATTTAGAAATTAGACTACTACAACAGATTTTTTTTTAATTTTAAAAGGTTGTTATTTAAAAAATTTTTTGATTTGAAAAATTTATGATTTTGCAGTCGAAGCAATGTTAAAACAAGTTCTATGTTGTGGAACTGTAACTAAAAGCAAATTTATCTGAATATAAAAAATTAGACTATTACAACAGACTTTTTTTAATTTTTAGAAATTTATGACTTATTTGAGAAATTTTTTTATTTGAAAAATTGATGATTTTGCAGTCGAGGGAATTTTGAAACAAGTTCCATGTTCTGGAACTGAAACTAAAAGCAAATTTATCTGAATTTAGAAATTAGACTACTACAACAGATTTTTTTTTTAATTTTAAAATGTTGATGAGTTATTTAAAAAATTTATGATTTTGCAGTCGAAGCAATTTTAAAACAAGCTCCATGTTTTGGAACTGTAACTAAAAGCAAATTTATCTGAATTTAAAAATTAGACTACTATAACAGATTTTTGGAAGATTTTTAAAAAATGATGATTTATGTAAAAAATTTTTTTATTTGAAAAAGTTGTGGTTTTATCATAAAAGCAATTTTATGTGCATCAACCTAATACCAAAGTTTATTTACAGCTCACAGTGTACGTACGTGTGCACGTGTGTGTATAAATGTGCAAAGAAGTGTCGATATGTCGACCAGCGAAGGTAATCGACTGAGAAGCGAACTAAAACCACTAGTCAAGCGTATTCGTGTACATGAGTCATTGAAAAAGTTTCCTAATTGATTCAATTTTTCGAGATCATATCTCGTTAAAACGTTTCTTCAACGACCCACGCTAGACCCTATTCTACCTGATCGACCATCGCTATCGACGATTTACGTCGCAAACTAAAAAAAGGGGGTGAAGAAAGGGTAGAGAAGCTCGCGTAAAAAATGCGTATGACAGAGAACGAAAGCTACGGTGTTTGATTTGTTCAGATACTTATGGCAACGAGCGAAAGTGTTCATTGTATTTCTTTTTCTCTCTCTCTTTGACTCGGTTTGTTTAATACGACTGGCCGTGATCCCTCCGTCTGTTTTCTCGGTCGGACTCTTGTCATCGATCGGTCGAGATGAGAGAATTCCCGAACAGTACACCGTGGTATTCGGGTCGGAAAGAAAGAAGGACGTGCTAGGATACCTGGTGTAGGTGGTGTGGAACCACGTGAGGGCATACCACTCTCGCCAAGGTTCCCTGAAGACCCTCCACGAGCAGAATAGAGACCCTTCGTGCCACGCGCAGCGCTCGCCTGCTGCCTTAGGGCTTCTAACTTCACCGGCGAAGGGATGAAACCGACGTCCGAGTTCTCTTTCACGAGCCTACCTATCCACCAGTTGTTGTCGTACTTCTCCTGTAGAGTACAATTTATTCTTCTCGTTATTACCATGTTATTTAAGGATAGCATCTTTTGGATGAGGATATAATCCGTATTATATGAACATCTGTATCTGTATTATATAAGGATGTGAACTGTATTTTCACGTTTTTAAGTTATCTATATTTTTAAGCTTCATTTGGGAATTACCAAACTTCTCTAGTTTTTAATATCTGAATTTAGAAGTTACTTCATACTGGAATTTATTAATCTCTAGTTTTCCGAAAGCTAAGGTTTCTAAGTACCTCTGTACCTATAAGTACTAATAGTCTCAAATTTCTAGATTTACGAAACTACCAAGTTTCTAGACTCCCAAATTTATAGAACCCCAAATTCCAAAACTCTCAAATTTCTAGACCCCCAAATTCCAAAACTCCCAAATTTCAAAACTTCCAAATTTCTAGCCCCCCAAATTCCAAAACTTCCAAATTTCAAAACTCCCAAATTCCAAAACTCCCAAACTTCTAGACCCCCAAATTCCAAAACTCCCAAATTTCAAAACTTCCAAATTTCTAGCCCCCCAAATTCCCAAATTCCCAAATTTCTAGCCCCCCAAAATTCCAAAACTCCCAAATTCCAAAACTCCCAAATTTCAGAACTTCCAAATTCCAAAACTCCGAAATATCTAAACCCCTAAATTCCAAATTCCCCAAATTCCAAAACTCCCAAATTTCTAAGCCCCCAAATTCCTAGACTCCCAAATTGCTAAGCTCCCATATTCATAGATCCCTAAACCCCAATATCCCGAAATTCCAAGATCCCCAGATATCTACGTCCTGTAGCTACTACGTGTCCCTAACCTCCAAATTTCAGATCACACTTCTAAACCTAAATTTCCAAGTCCCCCACAATTTCACCAACTTAAAAATTAGTAAAATTGTGAATAGTGAACGATAACTAAATTTACCTTGATGTGCAGAAAATCGCGAACCTCGAAGCTGACAGCGGAGCCATGGACGGGCGAATCATCGTCGACAGATCCGTCATAGCTCACATTGGTCCGCACTGCAAACGCTACCGGTTTCGTCTGCATAATCAAATTCAGTCATTAACAATTTCAGTCAACAACCATTTCAAAAATCATTACACCGTTAATCCCTAATATTTTGAACACCAACGAGAAACGGGACAGCGAATCGAGGCACGTTCCAGTGTCCACATTATCGATTTCTTCTATTAGGTCGAATAATTGTGCAATTGTAACTTAAGCATAAAACAAAAGCCGATTAGGTCACGGATGATTGGTATATTGTGAACGTTGTGCACGTGACAGGTCGCGGCTGGCAAGAAATAAAAGCGTTGTATATCGATGGGGGTTCGTGTTTATTACGATGCTACCCTTTGAAGGTCGTTGCTAAGATAATCGATATTCATTTATTGTTCGTAGACCGATCCGTCATCCTGATGTTCATCAGCAATTTTCATAATTCTTATGCAGTTCAAATATTTATTTCAACCCTTATGGGACAGGAAAGCGAAAATAACTTTGATTGTGTAATCATTGTGTAATAATCAAATAAATCATATTATTGTGCCATCAACATTATGCAACTCTAACTTTTCACTTTGAATAACTTCAGGAATCTTTAATAATCAGGTTAGAATATTTAGCTCCGCAATAAATAAAATAAAACAAAGTGCAACAAAATGTCTGACATTCTATAAACACCATTCAATTATACCCTGACCCTAAAATTGTAATCTTTGCAAAACTTTGCAAACTAGCTATTAACGTATAAATTATTTTCTTTCTATAGTCAGTTAAGGAGGACAACATGGCGTCTCACAATGGACATAATACAACGAATCGCCACGTGAAAAACGTGGAAAACAAAGGGGTCAAAGACGTTTAATTGGTTTGATTAGTGTGGCGTTCATTGACTCGCACCTGGCCTCGAGTCGTGTCGAAAGCAATGACGCTTTTGTTCGAAAGTTGCCGATCGATACGAAACGATTTACAAAAGACCGACGGAAAAACAAGCTCGACGGGGAAAAGACGAGGAAAGTGGAACATGCGAAAGATCAATGACTTACCCTGGCTTTTTCAAGTTGATTGAGGGCCTGCCTCTCCTTCTCACGACGCAAGCTCTCTTTCTCCTCGTCCAGCGAGAGATCCGAGCTCGGCTGTGAGTAGTTTGAGTCCGCCGAGCCCTGGAATACAAAACAAACTCGTTTCAATTGCGCCCTGAAGCGACCAACATTATTACGACGCAATCTTTATCGAATCCTTTACGCGCCCCCATCCACTTATTCTTTATGGAAGACGATTGTGTTTCCTTTTCAACGGAGTCGATATTTCTTATTCATTATTTCTTTGAAGCTTTTTGTGCAGTTTTTATGAGTTGAAACTGCAGATTTTTGGAGGGTGGGAGGTTAGAATATTCAATTTTGGGAGTTTGATGTTTTTTATTTTTGGGATGTTGAGGGTTTGGGACTTTGGTACGTTGGATGGAGGAATTTTAGGGGAGAATGTTGGAATGTGGGATTGAGGGAGGTGGGAATTTTGGGACGGAGATTTATGGGATGCGAGAAGTTTTGGGAGTAGAATTATGGGACGTGAAAATTTTGGGGGTGTGAGAATAGTGATATATCGAATTTTGAAGCGCAGGAATTTTGGGATGTGAGAATTTTGGGACGTGACAATTTTGGAGGTGTGAGAATAGTGAAATATCGAGTTCTGAGGCGTAGGAATTTTGGGACGTGAAAATTTGGGGATGTGAGAATAGTAAAATATCGAATTTTGGGGCGTAGGAATTTTGGAATGTGAGAATTTTGGGACGTGAAAATTTGGGGATGTGAGAATAGTGAAATATTGAATTTTGAAGCGTAGGAATTTTGGGATGTGAGAATTTTGGGACGTGAAATTTCGGGGCGTGAGAATTGTAAAGTATCGAATTTTGGGGCGTAGAAATTTTGGGACGTTAAAAGTTTGGGGCGTAGAATTATGAGACGTGAGAATTTTGGGGCGTAGAATTATGGGACGTGAGAATTTTGGGTCGTGAAAATTTTGAGGTGTGAGAATTGTAAAGCGTCGAATTTCAGACGTAGGAATTTTGGAGCGTAGAAATATGGGATGTGAGAATTTTGAAGCGTAGAATTATGGGACGTGAGAAGTTTGATGCGTAGAATTATGGGACATGAGAATTTTGGGTCGTGAAAATTTTAAGGTGTGAGAATTGTAAAGCGTCGAATTTTGGACGTAGAAATTTTGGAGCGTAGAAATATGGGATGTGAGAATTCTGAAGCGTAGAATTATAAGACGTGAGAATTTTGGAGCGTAGAAATATCGGATGTGAGAATTTTGAAGCGTAGAATTATGGGACGTGAGAAGCTCGGTGCGTAGAATTATGGCACATGAGAAGTTTGAAGCGTAGAATTAATAAACGCAAGAATTTTGAAGCACAGAATTATGGAACCTGAAAATTTTCAAGTATAAGAGTTGTAAAGTATCGAATTTTGTGATGTAGAATATTGGGATTTAGAACTTTGAAGCATTTAGGGATGTGAAGACTCACACACATGAGTACTTTGGGACATAAGAAAGATTTGGGACGTAGAGATTTTGCAACCTGAGAAATTTAAGATGTGACTTTGCGTAAGAAGATATTGAGACTTGAGGTCTTTGAAGCATGAAAGATCTTGGGACATGGGTATTTTGGCACATACGAATTTTAGGACATACTTTTGTACATGACAAATGTTCATAAGGAACCTAAAAAACTGCATTATAAAAATAACTTAGTTTCTCTAAATTTAGTACACTAATAACATTAAGTTTAGCATTGTATAACAATAAGCTTAAATAACTAAGTAAGTGGTAATAAATAAGTAAAAGTAGTAAAATTTCTACCAAGACAGGTACGCAAGTAGAATCAGTCTGCGTCTAGTCAGACGTCCTACATCCACTGGCACGCACACCAATAATTCCCCAAAATAAAAACAATTCCCCAAATCATCCCAGTAAAACTATCGTGACAAACTAATATTAACAAAAAAAATAAATTTGTAAACTGTCCCTCATAAATATTGCGCTCACGCAACGAAAATAGCTGTATATTTTCAGCGACATTACAATCTTAACCCTCGATCGGACAAACGATAGCATCGATATTACGTCGAATGAAGAATCCACGACAGAAATTAGAATTCTATCTATAACGTAGTAGGTTGCGTCAGCACATCCGGTGAAACGTCGAACAAATCGGTTACAACGTAGCCATTCTTGGCAACTGTGATCAAAAACGATCTCTATCGTTCAATTAACTCGTGTTCGAATTAATCATGTCAATCGTTGAACCGCGCGAACAATTCGGAAAGACGCAGTTTCTATTGCGTTTCATAAATCCTACCAACGACATTGATGTATTGATCGGACTCCTGAAAGTCAGAGGTCTTGTAATTAGATACTTAATTAAATGCAAAGGCGTGTATCCTTCGGTCGTATTATTTGCATTCGCGTTGCATCCGAGGGGGAAGTTCGCACGCAGAGAAAATTGGAGGAAGAGAATATAAATTGGATTCGTTTACGAAACGATCGTCTCCTTCGGCAGAATTTTTTTCGGGGATATGAATTCACGGTTGGGGGTTGTAGCCATGCCAACGGCCTTTTACTTAATCGTCCCCTACCTGTTCCTCGTGCGTGACTATGTAAACTCGCCTTATGCGTGCTGCCACGACCTTCTTCAACCCTCCGGAGACCCTGAGGACGAGTTAGGACAAACATTCGTAACTTTTTACAATGATAGGGACAAGGAATATTTCCATTCTTTCTTTCAGTTTTTCTACTTCTTTAGGTTGACAAATTCCTGAATCTAACTTAACACTAGAACTACCAGTCAAAATGACTGGTTTCAGATTTCTCGTTTTATATTACAAAATTTTATTGTCCCGATTTTATGGAAATGTCTGTCATATTTTGTTGACTTAAAAACTAGTTCTATATGTTATTTGGTGTTTTAGTATTCATATATTTCCCTTTTCATTTTATTTTTCATTCTTTGATAAACGAGTCTTAACTAACGAATCTGTTAAATAAATTTGAAGAAAAGTGGCCAATGTTCTAAATCCCTTTACTCACTAAATTTCATTTAACTCCAAATTAAATAAATTATAAACAACGCGCAGAATACGCAAGAACTCGAGTCTCGCAAATAATGATTAACAAAGTATTTACATAAACATCCGCCGTCTAATAATACTCAACGGGAAGTAGGGTATAAGAGTACACGAAGGGTGTGAATGAATCGGCCTGCTTGTGCAAAGTAAATTAATTGCAAGGGAAGTTGGCCAACGGGTGTCTTCGTCTCTTTTCTCGATTTATAAAGGGTCTTGTGTGGAGCACGATGCGTCATAAAAGTTTTACATTAATCAGCCTGGCGTGAAATAAAACCGACGAGCCGTGCAATCGTTGCACAGCCTCGATCCTTTACGTTGCACTCTAAATCGATCTGGTTTACGTTTTAAGCGTGAAACCGAGCGTTTCTCCTATGCTTCGTTACTCCTGCAGCTGCTGTTTTTCATCCTTCTAGCCTTTTTTTAATACGAGTCAATGTTTCGTTAATCCGCTTATATTGCACCGATGTACACCTTACTCTATCTTTCCGATGATGTTTTTAATTCGCTAGTTTTATTCTATCGCTGCACTCTCGGCTTAAATAATGTAGTAGTATCGATTCGCTCTAAATAACTAGTTGAGTAAGACACTTCAATTATAAATTTCATTAGGTAATTTAGGTCGTTTGGAGGTTTGAAGGTGGAGATTTGGGGGGTTGAAAATATTTGAGATGTTAGAAGTTGGGGGATTGGGAATTTGGGGGTGTGGATTTGGGGATTTGGACAGGTGAGAATCTCTGAACTGAAAATTCTTGCAGACGAAAATTTTCGAACTTGGAAATTTGGGATTTGGAATTTATGGAATTTGAGAGATTCTGGGATTTGTGGAATGTGGGGTTTTGGAAATTTGGAATTTGAGGGGTTAGAACTTGGAAATTTGGGATTTGAAGGGTTGGAACTTGGAAATTTGGGATTTGAGGGGTTGGAACTTGGAAATTTGACATTTGGGATTTATGGAATTTGAAAGATTGGAATTTGAGAGATTCAGGGATTTAGAAATTTAGGATTTGAGGGGTTGGAACTTGGAAATTTGGAATTTGGGGAGTTTGGGACGTCGAAATTGGGGATTTGAGGGGTGGAACTTGGAAATTTGGGATTTGGAATTTATGGAATTTGAGAGATTTTGGGATTTGTAGAACTTGGGGATTTAGAAATTTGGGATTTGAGGGGTTGGAACTTGGAAATTTGGAATTTGGAGAGTTTGGAACGTGGAAATTGGGGATTTGAGGGGTTGGAACTTGGAAATTTGGAATTTAGGGGGTTTAGGACGTAGAAATTTGGGCTTCGAGATATACCTAAATTTCAAATTGAAGAGTATTCAAAATTTTAGTAAGGTTTGATACATTTGAGCTGTAAGTGCGTCATGTGTGACTCGTAACGCACTTTGACTCGTCAAAGAAGTTAACTAAATGGTAATTGTAAAATTGAATAATACTGCATACGCTTGAATAATAATATTGAATATTTATGTACATTAACACTACAGCTACCAAACAACCTCTTAACAAATTTCTTGTTATAAAATACACATTAATATACATTCCTTGATACCAGCATTTCATCAAAATAAAGAATAAATGTACTAATTCATCTTTGATTTCTGTATTCATTTTTTGACTTCATTTTTAATTTCAAATTAAGTACACATGTCGGTAGGTTTAGTGTTAAATTCTCAAATATAAGTCATGCTTATTATGTGGATCGTTTATTTTGAAAGTGGTGTCCATTTGCATGAATATATACTATTAGTTAAATCACCTAAAACAAGTTTGTATAACTAAATTACGTATTGATGAATCAGTAAAAAATTGCTGACCTACCAGTCATGATATAATTAACCTATATTCTTTCATTGAAATATATGCTACCCTTTCATTTTCTCAAAATAAATGAAAACGCACTTTCACCACTTTTAAAATAAACAATCCACGAACTCTAATATACAAAATTGTGAAACATTTAGAATTACAAAAAAAATATACTGATCGAATTGAGAAACCTCCTCCTCTTTCGAAATCGGTTAAAAATCAGTGAAATGT